GGTTTTTTAACTCTGCATTGGCAAAGACTAGCTTACAGAATGACCCATGTTACAATCTCAGCTAGGGAAAATGTTTTCTGCTTGCAGTAATGAAGAGTTTTCAGTAGTTTGTGAATTGTCAAATAAATGCCCTGGTTTCTGAACTTTCAGCCATAGAAATTGCTTTGTCTGTGAGAGAGACTACTCGGGGGTGTGTGTGTGTGTGTGTGTGTGTGTGTGTGTTGTTTAAAAAAACAAACAAAAAACCCCAAACCCAAAGCACAACAGCAACAACAAAAACTTTGTTTTTCACTTTCTTCATTTGATAAAAATCTCTCCACTCTAGAATGATTTCCTTTGGGTTTGACACCACCATTTGATCTCAGTTTTTAATAATTTTGGTGGGTTTCACTCCCAGAAGAAAACATGCTTGTGCTATGAAGTATTCCCACTAGAAATCTGGGAAGTCTTAAAGCCTCATGTTACTCAGGGCTGAGAACTGGCCTCTTTATTAATTCCCTGCTAGACAACCCCTGTACAGTAAATCTTTCCATAACACCATGCTGCTGAAATTAATCAAGCTGATGTTTGGAAATTGTTCAAATTAGATTAAATTAAATAACACCTAGACGGGGCTGAAAACTTGTGCTGATGGAAAGAGATTTTAATCTAAAAAGACACAAATTTTATTGGTGCCTCTTTTCATTGGTTGGTCTTCATATTATACTTATTAGGACAAACAAGCCCTGCTTCCTATCTAATGGGTTGGAGAGGTGGGTGGCTGTGATACTGTTTAGCCTCTTCCTCAGCTTTCTGTATCCCTTCTTCTTTGATTTTTAGGGGCCAAGACTATGGTGCTAGTATGGAAGTGGATAATGCCAAGAAGTTCAGTGCTGATAGTTTCAGGTTAATTACTTGCTTTAAAGCGTGCCCTGCGCAAAGTATCATTTGAAAATGAGCAAAAGAAATAGTACAGGACTTCTTAAATATCTGCCCTGTCTTCTCCTTCTAGTCATAAGAAATGTGCAACTTTTACTTGTAAATCTTTCAGTCAAAAGCACTGTTCCGGGAGCGGCATCGCTTGAGTTTGATCATTCTTTTAATTGGCTTCAAGTGTTTGAATGCTGTATGCAGAGGAGTGGGCAGAGTTTTCATTTCTTGAATGAAATGTTTGTTTCCTTTTTCCCTTGCTTTCAAGAATGAATTGCTCCCCAGTAGAATAAATCTATAGAATGAGCTGGGCAAGGAGAAGAAAGTGTGTATTTGGACACAAGCCTCTTGGGTATATATTTAGTTTCTCTGCATCTCAGAAGAGTCTCAGCAAAAATGCAGCTATGTTTACAAAGCCTTCTCTGTACGCAGCATTTTTCCCATGAAAGCAACAGTGGAGGTTAAGTCTCATCTTGGATTTGCTTTAAAAATACATGTTGCACAGAGATACCGGTCACCGCTAAGCATTCTGCTCTTCTGGGGAAGAGTCATAACGGTTTGTCTCTGTTCTCCTCCATGGATTATGAGGAATTCTTGCTGTGCATAGGTGTTCTTGTAAAAGCTTTTGTGTGGGTCTTGCTTTATGTTCCCCTAACATTTTATGGAGATGCTCCCTGTGTGGGGTCAAAGCATTGTCAGAAGCAGTGAGATGCTTTTATAAGTCAATGAAATAAATTAGCAGCAAGGAAAAAGTCTTTTGGTTAGTTTGTGATGATTGTTAATGTTTTGTGTGCATTTCAGCATTGTGCTCAGCCTTTAAGGAAACAAAATGTGTCCTTTTTAGCCCTCAGACTACCCCTTGATTTCTCCGTGAGTGAAAATCAGTGCAGTATGTCATCTGCCATGAGCTATAGAGCAGTATTCATTGAAGCATCTCTCTGAAACTGGGAGAGCAAACGCACAGACGCTGTGGGGGATCTAGGCGCTTTTGTGGGAATATACATGGGAGAGAGAGGAGGACAGTAGTGCTGGCTGCTCAGGCGTTAGGGCACGAGCTGCGGAGTTTCAGGATTTATGGGTCAGGCTTGGCTTGTGTTGCTGTAGCACTGCCTGCAGGACTTCATTAGTGATGCTTGGGCTCTTGCTCTCTTGAGTATTGCTGTAAATTCTCCAACTGGAATGACAGTGAGCACTGACTAACTTGCATTGCTCTTCTGCAAGGTCCCTGTAGTGGGGTGGAGGTGTAATATATGTATCTAGGAGCAAGACGCTGTGTATATCAGTGTGTGAAAACTGCGTTGGCTTTAGGCTGCATATGTTTTTTTTTTTTTTCTTTTGAATTTTAATGTACTGAAAGAATGTTAATTTATTTTCAGATAACGTCATGAAACAGGGAAGTTTGAGGTAATAAATCTATCGGAGAAATTATAGCTTTACTCTCTCCAATGTGAAATAGAGGGCAAAGCAGATGGAACTTCCTTGGAGTGAGATTTAATTTTAAAGAAGTTGGATTACTGTTGTTTTTTAGTGAAGTAGGTTTGGTATTAAGATTCCAGAAGCTATAGCGAGAGGCCTCCAAGTATGTTAATAATGGCAGATGTTGTAACCTGTCCTTTGCTCTCTGTTTTCAAGGTACTAATAGCAGCTTATCATCACCTGTGCTGGGTCACAGAGCTCAGAGATGTTCTTGCAAAAACTGTTCCTGGAGCAGAGGCCCTGCAAGCACGGGCAGCAGGAAGGGACCATTTAGAAAGTCATTGCAGGCAAGGGTCCTGCGAGTCCTTCGTGCTGTCCACAAAGTGAAATCGTGAACGGCATCAGTTCTAGCTTGGAGATGCTTTTAGTACCAAGACACCAAAGGATGGCATAAACTGTGCGGAGAATAGGTGCAGCTTCTGTGTTGAAAGGTGGGAAGACAGTTCTGTCACAGGAGAAGCATCCAGCAGGAGGATAAAAGATGCTGTGGCATCCCTGTCATCAGCTTGCGTTCACCCGCTTACGCTGGCTTGCCAAAATGTCGTTTACGCAACCAGTAACAGCCTCGGCATTTGGCAAATTGTCTTAATCTTTTGTTGAGAAATTAATAGCCCCATCAAAAGCGCTGTGACAAGCTGTACGTTGGACGGCAAGTTTGTCACTGACAGAGGTTAAATTTCGTTTTACCTAGTTAAGTGGTATATGAACAAATAGGATTCATTTTTTTTTCTTGGAAGGGGACAGGGATTTTGTCACTGACTTCAGTGGGAAGCTGAAGGGACTTCAGGAGCAGCTTTACGCTGTCTTTCCAGGAAAGCACCCAGAGATTTTCTTTCACTGCGTGTTCTTGAGGGTGTCAGAATTTGGCTGCTTGAACTTGCAAAATGCATCGGTTTAGCCCAGAATCAAGCAGCAAAAAGGGAGCGGCATCAGTATGATGCCATAACCTACTTACACAGTGTTTCAGCGTGCGCTCCAAAACAAAGACCTGAAACGTATCAACCGGGTATGGAGGCTTGTACCTGCTGCTGCTGAGACGCGGTCCCAGAGCCAGCCTGGGAGCCGCTCCGTGCCAGATATATCACTGAGGGAGAACTGCGTGTCCGAAAAGGGATTTTGGCGTACATCTAGTCTCTGCAAGTTCAAGAGAGGAGGATTTAAGTCCCTTAGCAGTTGCTGCTAGTGTGACAGCATCTGTTTCAGGGCAGGGTGCCTCCTCTGAGAGGAGTGAGTGTTTGTTTGTAGGTATTGAAGCTGCTGATAGTAGAAAATCTTCAAGTTAGTTAACAGACTTTGTACAGAAAGAGAACTGAAATGTGGTTTTCTCCTTTTTTTCCCCATAAAGTGGTGCCCAATCCAGGAATACAGTGATTTGTGTCTGCCCTTACAGAAATATACGCAATTATTCATAGTTATTATCTTTCAGAAGTGCTTATATTTAATTTCAAAGAACAGGAGCGAGAGGTAAACTTTCTAGCAGTATTACAAGCCCTAGACAGTGCACATGGCGAAAAGCTTCAGACGGAGATTTGACTTTGCCCCCATACTTCTAGCACATCTAGAGGCTAACAAATTGTATGTAGCCAATTAATACATTTCTGTTACTGGAGATAGTCGGGGGTTGGCAAAGGAGGAACCGTTAAAACATGGCCTACAGCAAGTGATGGAAATGAAAATTTGGTGCCAGCAGGTTTGTGTGTGCTCCGTTTCCCTTCACGCACGCGCTCAGGGGAGTGCAGTAAGGCCTGCTCCAGTCAACTGGCTTGTTTCTGTACTGCTTTAAGGTTGAATCTCTTTAGTTTGTGCCCCACAATTTGTTGCCATAGATCAAGTTGATCCTGTAACCACAAAAGTAAATTTAAAATAAAGCAGAAGAAAATTGATTCCAGACCACCCCTGGAGTTTTTCCCTCTGGTGGTTCCTCTCTCGGGACTGCTCCGTTCTCATCTGTGATCCTCTTTCTGAGAGAGCTGTTCTCACTCTCTTCATACATACGTGGGAGAACAGCCACTAGCCTCCCTGGGTCAGCAGGACCATCAGCTGCCGACAGCACAAGATTATCATTGCTTTCAGCAAGATGTGTGCAAAAGTATTCTCCTTGCACAATGAGAAAACCGGCTATGGGCTAGAAACGGGCAAATTACACTATCCCACCCAAGAGCTACGTATGGGACTAGTCGCTGTTGATAGCCCCATACCATTTGCTGGGCAGAGAGGAGCAGAAGTGGTGTTTGTGTGTGTCAGGTTTTCGTGTGCCTGAATGTGGGGAAGCCCTGACCTGAAAGAATAGGGAAATTCATGGAACTGTAGAAAACTTCTGAAATGTTGAAAAGGTCTTGTTAAGAAATTTTGTTCGTGCTCATGCTGACTGTGATTTTCTTCCTGTACTGTATTCTCTGGAGCTTTTAGTGTGGTTTTTAAATGAGTCAAGTGATGAGACTTCAATGTTTCCCTTGGAAAGAAAACAAAAGCTATCCCCACAGGGAAGAAAGGCAGATCTCCACTAAAATTAGCCTTCTAGGAGGTGTTTTAATTTACAGTTGTAATTGGAGATGTATGACACACTTCTTGTTCCTTTCTTACTGATGTTTTTTTTGAATCTTTTTCTCATCTAGGTTTGATGATTCCCGTCTTTTGTGTGGTGGAGCAGTCAGATGCCTCTCTTGAATACGATAATCGAGAAGAGCATGCTGAGTTCGTTCTGGTTCGCAAAGATGTGCTCTTTAGCCAGCTGGTGGAGACAGCGCTCCTGGCTCTGGGGTATTCCCACAGTTCTGCAGCTCAGGCACAAGGTATTCAATAATGTTCTTTCCCCCTTCTCTGCACTGGCAGAAGAGAGCACCTGAGATTGTGCTGTGCGAGGACAAGGCAAGAAAATTGGGGCCAAGTCTTGGAAGCAGTTAAATCAATTGTATTGGTTGCTTAATCTTAAGCTAGGTATACAACAAGCCCTACCTTGTTAGCCTGCTTAGAAAGCTTTAGCTGGATCTTGCTGAAGTGTGAAAGATGGTAACTGATCAGTCAGCAAATTTATGACACATTTGTTCTGTATCACGAGGCAGGTTACTGCCTTGCCAAAGTCATCACAGAAGAGCCCGACTAAACCTCTAGGTGTATAGGTAGATGGTATCTGGTATTTCTTCTTGTAGCAGGGCCATATTGAACAGCATACTGTAATCTTTCTGTATTTAAAATAGTGCATTTTATATAATGACTATATACGTACAGGCTCTCTTTTTAATATATATAATCATATATATATATGCATATAAATGTTGTCCTTTTTGACTGATAGTTATAATGCTAAATGTGCAGACTGATTTCTCTGTTTTGACTTGCCTGATACACTGCTGCAAAGCCCTTTGTGGAGCTCTACAGTGCCTTGCACTTGGAGGTGATCCTCTAGCAGCAGTGAAACCTTCAAATAAACAAAGCTGTCCTCTCTCTACCAAAAATGTCAGCTTGAAAAAACAAAAAGCAAGAAAGGGTGAGGTGGGAGAAATCTTTCTAAAACAAACTGTTTTTCAAGAGGATTTGTTATACTGAACAGATTATTTCATTGCTTTTTGTATGAGAAGTCTCTAACTTTCAGTTTCATCTCTCTCATCAATAAAACTGGTGCATTTTTAGAGTAGCTTAACAGTAGCTCTGCTTGGAGATTTGGATTTTATCTGCTGTCTTTAGTTATTTCATGTTCCTAGGAAGCTGAACTCAGGATGAGAGGGAGCAGCAGTAGTGTTGAATCCAGGAGTTTAAGGCAGTGGTTAATAGTGCAGTGCTTCTCTACAAACTTCTTTCCAAACAGGGTGATAATGATTCATTTCCTCTGTCAGTCTCTCTGCTCTGTGAGAGAGGCTCACGATCCACATACAGGCAAAATTCATGCACGGCTCCAGTGTGTTTAGTTAGAAAACAGGGTATTAAAAGCTAGATGAGAAGGTAGTTTTATTTTTAATACAAAACACTTCATGCTGTTTTAGGGATAATTTTTTCTGAATGTAAAAGGTCAGTGTATCCCACTGTTTCCATCCTGGTGAGCCAGCTTCCTGTTTGACAGCACTATCCATCTCAGTTAACACGGTTGCTCAACGCGTTGTGAGCTAGCATGTGGAACACACTGCATTAGGTGGCCAAAATTTGATTCTTGGCACTTCTGAAGGGGAATGGGCTTTGCAAGAAAGCTGCTCCAAGGAGGCATGCCCTTCAGTGCAGTGATCCACACTGGCTGAGCATCTCACTGGGGGAACCTCGCTTTTGCAGCATCTCTCCGTTGTGCGAATACCAAGGAGGAGAGACAGATTGACTCACATAGGAAATTTAGGAAATTAGTCACTGTACAGGGAGGAAACAGCCACTGCGTTTTTGAACTACAGACTACAAATAAGCAGGTTCAGATACCAATCTGTCGCTTGATGTGTTGCTCAAAGATCTCATCTAGAAAATAAAAGGTGAACCTCTAGTTGTTTTAATTAGTTTAAAAGAAAAGAGTACCATTTTTCTCCTTAAGGCAGCCGTTACTTTGCACTGGGAAACAGTTGGTCAGCTACCAAATCTCTTATTTGATCAGCTTATTTACCTTCGCACTGAAGGACAAGTTCTCCAAAGTTCTGTTGTTCCTCCTGGGCAAATCCTGCAGGGCATGCTGATTTTAAGAGATGAAGCTGATGTATGCAGCACACTGTAATAGCTTGCTTCTGCGCTAGCTGCCTGCAAGCTAAGAGGCAAGATACAGGCAGAGACAGAGTGCTAACAGATCTCTGAGACTGCTTAGGTTCACGAGAAAATTTGTAGAATATTGGGCTATAATCTGTCACCCAGGGTTGACCGAAGCATGCCGGTAAATTGTTGATACAAGGATTTACTTAGGTATAGTTTGCTGATTTTAAAAAGAGGAAAATAAAGCTATTTGCTTTGTCTTTCCTGGTTGCAGGAGAAGCCTGCTTGTGTTCTAATGCTTGGGATGGATTTCATTTATCAGTATACACCGATAAAGAGTCACTTAGTTCTCCCTTATGCCTTTTGATCAGCTGAATTATAGTATCCACGTGAGAAGCTGAAGATCTTCAGATTTATTTTTCAAAATAGTCAAGCTTTGAGCAACATACTCTGCAAAACACTGACATGAGTAGATGTCCTTATGCCCTCTAGGGACAAAGTAAATGTGAGCTTGTCAAAGCTTTTGTATTATAAATGCTGTCTAGGCAGTAATGTAGTGTGGAATAATTCCCCAGCTCAAAAAGGTGACAAATGTTTATGTCCCCGCACCTCCCCTTGCTTTGGATGACTCTCAGCTAGGAGCAGCAATGTTTGCTTCATCTCGTGGGAAACTTCCTCTTGCCTTTGAACTTTCCCTTTAGAGCAGCATCTCCAGTAGCAGATGAAAGAGCTAGTTATGGGGACAAGGGATCGCAGCAGCAGAGAGAAGAGCTCTGTCACTTCATGCTGCTGTTGCCGTGGTTTGCTGTGGTGCTTGCGCAGAGCTGCGGAGGCTCTAGCGGGTGGCGCGGGACTTGTGCGCGGGGCCCCCATCTCATACTGTCCGTCGCGGTGCGGCGGCGCGCCTGGCAGGCAGAGCCCTGGCGCCGAAAGCAAACCTGGCACGGAGGAGTGGCGGCTCTTAGCATACATAATCTTGAGAAAAATAAGTATTAGGAGGTATATATCAAGGTGGTCCCATGTCTCACTGGACGAAGCTCTTTATTCCCACACAATTTGGGCAGGACACATTTATTCCACAAACAGCTGGTTGTGAACATTTTTTGTTGACGGTGGCCGCCTGGCAGGCAGAGCCCTGGCGCCGAAAGCAAACCTGGCACGGAGGAGTGGCGGCTCTTAGCATACATAATCTTGAGAAAAATAAGTATTAGGAGGTATATATCAAGGTGGTCCCATGTCTCACTGGACGAAGCTCTTTATTCCCACACAATTTGGGCAGGACACATTTATTCCACAAACAGCTGGTTGTGAACATTTTTTGTTGACGGTGGCAAGAGCGGAGACTTTTGCAGCGAGCGCTGCCCTCGTGAAACTTCCCTTTTCAGACAAGAGCTGTGAAAAGTCTTCTGGAACAGAATGGGAATTCGTTAACAGCTTGGCCCTGGCGTGTGAAAGTTGGTGGTGTGAATGGCAACAAAGGTTTAATAAACATTTATGTATTTTTCTTTCATCACTTGAGTTTACACCTGACACTAGGGAGCCTGCTCCATGTGCCTTCCTGAGAGGAAGAGTCATGCTTTAAAAGGGCACCTGTTTTGTAGGTAGTTTGATAAAACTTGTGTGCCCTGATGCTTTTATTTATATATATATATGTATGTATGTATTTTTTTGGGGCAGGGGGGCAGTATTCTGACTGGGATCTGCAAGAGGAGGGAACTGGTGGAGGCTACAACATCCAGTGCTAAATGTTAAGACCAGAGGCCCCGGCAGGCTGTCTTTCCAAAGTAGAAAGTATGAAAGTGGTGGGAAGCTGGAGTGCTTTGGGTGCAGTCCTGCAGCTCTGGGACCTGCTGTGAAAGCCGGCTCCCTCCTCCTCAGTGTGGGGTGGAGGAACAGGAGAGCTTGTTTGACACTTTTGGCAAATTCTGCTAATTTCTTGAAATCCATATGAAAGAGAAACTAGTGTGATTTCTTGTGGGTATGTGTATATATTTTTTTCTTTTGACCAGTTCTGTTTTAACTGTCGTGAGTTTATGCAGAAGTGGTGTACATTGTCTACAAAAGCTCATGAAGCTGAACAGGTCCTTGAAATGGAGTTTGCTTCCTCCTCCACTGTGGTCCTGCTAGCTGCGTTGGTGGGCAGTGCAGAGTGCCTTCCCTGACGGCGGTTCGTAGCCTACCTGTTTCATAGCTTTAGCTGGGCATTGGCGAATGGTTGCCTGCGGTGTCCATTTCGAGTGTGGGTGTCGTGGCTGTAATTCTGCTGTGTGATGTTACTAGTGCTGATACTAGTTCCTGGGAGCAAAACCTGTAGCAAGTGTGTGGCTGAGCAGGGCCGGGGAGAGCGGTCTGAGTAGAGGCACCAAGGAAAGGGAAGTACGGCAAAGGGAAATGGTGCTGGGGTGCCACTGGCTGCAGAAGGAGAGGTGAGAAAACAGCAGAGGGAAGTTAATACAAAGCAAGAGAGACACAGCTTTCCCACCTCTGTCACTGAAGAGATGGCTGACTCCTGGTTCTTAATGTGCTGGCCGCAAGCAGACCCACTGCAAGAGGTTTCAGTGCCCTGGAGGTCCTTTGTGCTGCTCCATTTCTCCTGGTGCTCCGTACAGAGCTAGGGGCTAGTCTTTGTGGCTGCAAAGGGCTGGGAGGAGCGGGAGGCCGGAAGCAGAGACACGACAGGAAAGGTGTTCAAGGCATAAGGCAAGGATGGGAAGTAGAGAAGAGCAGAGCGTTTTGTCCCACCACGTAGAGTTGCAAGAGCTGGGCGCAGAGGAGAGCGATGCTGTGGGGCGGGAGGGAATCGTGACTTAGCCAGCCGAGGTCAGGCATCGTCGACCCTGTCTGCCTTGCACAACTGGAGGGGGGAAAAGGAGAATTGTGTTGGTGCTGCGCCAACGCCTGGGCAGAGTAGCTGATGAAGTACCTTGGCCCTCGCGGCCCAGACCACAGGCGTGTTAGCGACAAGGTGTTCATTTCTCTCAAGGGTGTAAATACGTGAGCTCAGCCCTGCTCCCTGCTGTCAATTGGATGCCTCTTGCAGTTGCTGCCTGCCTTTAAGTGGTATTTCAAAGCAAGGAGCAGGTCTGTTTGGTGTGTTGACGTTCAGTGGATCAGTCCAAGCCCACAGTGTGCTCTG